GTGAGAGCACCTGCCTCTGGAGTGACTGGCATCCATGCAAAACAAAAGCACGTGGACACAGACAAGGGCCATGGGCAGTGGTGGAGGCAGCTGGGAATGGAGGCAGATGAGGTACCGTGGCCTACTGAACCCAGGCAGCAGACCAAGGCATGTTCGAGGTGCTCTGCAGCCCACCAGAGAGCCCTCCATCCTTACCAAGAACCTGCCCTGCCTCCAGGGTTTTCCTGTCCCAGGAATTGACCCCCTCCCTACAAGGAGCCATAAGGTTGTTAATTAAGACTTTGGCTCCACCCCACAGCCCTGTTGGCTTTGAATTAGAATGAATTCTCATTTTTGTTTTTCAATTTGTTTAGGACCTTTTTTGTCTGAATGTGATCTACCCCCAATTAAACGCCAGTCTTGTCGAGTTGAAAAAATGTCCATGGGATATATCAAAGTGCATAAATGCATTCTATTGTCATGTATAGCTAATTAAAGCAAAAAGAAATTTAAATGTCCATGGGTATGCAGAAGACCAGCCTCCTTGAAAAGATGCAACTGACTTCATCAAGCCTCAGCTGCAGCCAAACCTACAGTTACACAGTGTTTATGTTCTACCAAGTACTCCACGAAAAGCGCGTTCACTGCGCGGCTCTCCAGCCAGGAGAAGTGGCTCAGCCTGGGTCCACCTTGAGCCCACTGCTAGCCTCCCCACCCCCCTGGGTCTGGCTCCAGAAGCCTCCTTGCTGCCCTTTCCACAGGGCTTCCTGCCACCGCCCAGAGCCTGACCAGGTCCTAAGGTCTCTCTCCACGTGTCTGCTGGTGGGTGGGTGCACCTGCACAGGCCTCAGCCAAAGCACTGCTTCCTGCAGCCAGGCTTCTGCCCCGCCCAGAGACACCGCCCCCTCCGAGGCCCCGCCCTTCAGCTCCTGCTCACCTGGCCCCTTCCGCCGCTGCCCTCTCCGAAGGAGGCCCCATCCCCTCACTTGGCCATGCCTTCCAGCTCCAGACAGGCATGCTGCACCAGGAGTGGCAGCACACGGGGAGGCAGAGGATTTGGAGAGTGGCCTCCCCTGACCCCGTTCTTTTGCACCTGGACACCAGCAGTGGGCAGGGTCCTGGGAGACTCACCCGGCTCAGGGGCACCCGAGGAACTGAGTACTGCAGGACCTGAGTCCTGCTATCCAAGGTCCCTTCGCAGACTCCTGCCGGCTGGAAAGATGCACAGGCCCTTCCCAAAACCCAGCAAAGGAATCCGCAGTGACAAGAGGGTGGCACAAGACTGTGCCCCTCTCCGGGAAAGAAAAGCAATATTCAGTGTTTTAATTATTTAATACCAACATTTTCCCTGTCTTTCACATACTTTCTAAATTAATGCAGTAATGAACCTTAAACAGACTTCTCTAATGTATTTCTTCTTTGGTCCAGAAAATTTTCAGGTTTAGAATAGTTATAGATATTTACATAAATCCTAACAATTTAAAAACTAAAAGTTCTCTTTAACATGCCTTTTTCAGAGTAATAAAAAATTAGGGAGAGGAGGGGAATTCTAGGATGACTGACAACAAGCAGATTTTCCTTATAGTTTAAATCATTATTCATTATAACCTATATTAAGGGATAATCCTTGCTCTTTAAAAATTAACATTTCACAGCTTGTGACTAATCACTTAAAGCAATTATAGTTCTTAGCAGTTTCAAATCAAGTTCAGAATAAATTATAGAAATCATGTATTTCTTTGGAACTGGAGGACAGTGTAGAGACTAGAGCAGGTAGTTCAGTAAAGGATCACCGGGTTCCTTAAAAATGTCGATGATTTATTCTGATTTACAAATCATCTGAGGATGGAAAAACCCAACATTCCTTTTTCACTTTTAACTTGAAAAGTAAAAAAAAATTAAGATTCAATTGTAGTATGTAATATAGATATGACTCAATCATCCAAAATCATATTTTCAAGGTCATATAGATGTCTGACCTAGTGTTCATGATAGTAAATGAAAACTTTTAAAAGCTGTAATACCAAACAGGCATGATGGTGCATGTCTATAATGCCACCTCTGCAGGAGTCTGAGGCAAGTAGATAACAAGTTTGAGGCCAGTCTAGGCAACTTAGCAAGGCCATCTCAAAATATGTAGAAAAAAAAAGACTGGGGACTTAGCCCAGTAATATAGTACTCACCTAGCATATTCATGGCCCTAGTAACACACACACACACATACACACACGCACACACACGCACAAATATAATACTCAATTGTTATCAAAATAATCACAATGAAAACATCATCACCATCACTATCATTTTTTGGTAGCCTGGCAGGAATTCTCTCAATTTTTACTCCTAATCATATGATGAGGACATCAGTACTATCATCCCACTGTACAGAGGAAGAAACACCTGGCTAATTTTGAAAAGAAAAAAAAATTATACATCCATAATATACATAAAAATCTTAAGAGAAAATATATTAACACAATGTTGAATGGATTGCATGTTTAAAATATTGAGCCAAGGAAAATATAATACTAAAATCATCAACACTTGTTTGATTTAACATTTTTTAACTTTATATTAATGTTGAGCAATATTTATTTAGGAAATTCAATAAATATTTTAAATGTAAATAGGTTTATCATAGAAAATCACTTAGTATTTAGATAATAAATGCTCTCCTGAATATTTTTGAAGCTTTGGAACTAGGAGAGTCCACTTATATGAAAACAGCATTTTACATTTTGGGGGGGTACAAGGGTTTGAACTCAAGGGCACTCAACCAGTGAGCTACATCCCCAGTCCTATTTTATAGTTTCTTTACAGACAGGATCTCACTGAGTTGCTTAGCACCTCACTTTTGCTAAAATTTCAAAATGTTAATTTAAAAATACCTATGAAAAATATGGCTAATTTGAAATGTTTGAATATATTGTTATTGATTTTTTTAAATCAAAGTGTTAGGAAGAATTTTATAATACATGACGTGTATGAAAAGAAACTTGAGGAAAGGACACAGTATTTGGCACCAAATATGAGCAAGGTGCTTTGGAAAATCATGTGTGGGATGCAAAAATGAAAAATATATAGTTTTTTTCACTCTGAAGTATTTAAGTTCTAGTATCACACATGAAGTTTTACCCGAGAGAGATGGAAGCATGTGCCTGTCAAATAATTTGTACATAATCTCAGTCATCAGTCATATGTGTTAAATATGATAATCTTTTATATTGTTCCCTTATAAAAGTTGTCTATAAAATTGACAATCTTGAATCCATCTTCAATGGAGACAGGGAAAAACTAACCCTATCTTCAAATTATGTCGAATATACGGTAAGAAACTAGATTTACCTTGTCACTTAAAATGAGAGTATGTAGAGATAGAGGAAACAATAATTTTCAAGTCAGTGGGTAGCAGGAAACAAAAGATCAATTCCCGAGACATGGTACAGCAAAGAAGCAAGCCTTATGATCTACTCAACTTAGTTCATTCCGAGTTCCCAGGCCATCAATTTGGACAATGAACATTGAGGGACCAGGCTGACTCCTGGATTGAGGACCTGGGGCTTAGATTGCAGGGGAAGAAAATGACTAGAATTTGTAGCACATAGGTTAAGAAGTGTGGGGACTTATGCATAGAGACATGCTGGAACCCTATTGGGGATCTCCCTCAATTTTGTATTTGATCAGTAGATATGTATAAATAATTTGGGAAAAGAAAACAATCAGAATGATGAGAGATCACAGTGTCCAGCACTCACACAGCTCTAGTAATTGTACCCTGATTCACCTAGTGCACAGGAAAATGTCATGATTTATTGTACCTTAAATAGAGTGCACAAAGTTCTTTCACTCAGTGGTGAGAAATAAATCTCATTAATATTAGCATTACCCCATTCTCAAATAAGAAAACTGAAAAGGATAAATACCTTTCTGAGTAATCTTTTCATCCTGGAATAAAGATCTCCACAGCTAATGATGGCGCTCTGTGCTCAGGAAGGACTTGCAGCCAGACTCTACCCCAAAGTGGATGGGGAGCCTGGGCTAAGGCCAGTGAGCAGAACCAGCAGGACTGGGCCCTAGGGGGCTCACAGCAATGAAGAGCATTCCCTTGCTGTCTCCTGGGTGCAGGCTGGTGATCCTGTGTGTGTGTGTGTGCGTGTGTGTGCGCGTGTGTGTGTGTGTGTGTGCGTGTGTGTGTGCGTGTGGAGGAGGGGGGCACAAGTACTGAGAAGAACTGAAGACCTTCGTGCAGCTGCTGTGGAAGGACGAGGAGTCTCAGCTCCATGCTCTGATCTCCAGCTTGGCTGAGCTCTACTCCATCCCAGACTAAGATCTGATCTGGGACACAACTGTCCCTTTCACAGACCAGGTTACCCAGCCTCAGGAGGTATTTCAGCCAACAGCAGCTGTGGTTCATGTCCAGCCTTCCTGACCCTCAGGTAAGCCACAGCCCCCCCATGTCACTCCCCCACCAACCCTCCAAACATGCATGCTCACATGGCCCTGGGTGACTGGGAGAAAGGCTGGCTGGGGAGGCTGTCACACAAATCCAGGTCAGCTGAATTTGCTAGAACGTGAGCAGGAAATCAGTGACCAGTAATAGCAACAGCACACAAAGGCAGACACACAACATGTTCATGGAGGCCTTCATGGGCTCTCCAGCCTCACACGGGGAAAATACGGCACAGCCTCACATTGTTCTTGGGTTCCCAAATATGTTTTTTTTCTTAATTTATTCACAAAAAGTTAAGTTTCAGAGTTTATAGGGGCTGTACATGGGCAGAAGTCTGGGAAGCTCTGTACACAGGGCTGGGTGAAAAGGGAGCCTCCAGATGGAAGGTACATTTTAGAAAAAAATAAATAAAAATGGGAACTACATCCACTCCACCCTGCTCCCCAAATAAAAATACAGAAAAAAAACAGATAGCTCAGGTCAATGGGGACCCTGGGACTTAAGGGTGTTTTAAGGGTTTCACAGATGGTAGGGCTTACGGGGGCTGTCCCAAGCACTGGGATGGCCCCTACATTAGTTGGTAGAACAGCACATAGCCTTCACTGGATGCCACTTGATTTTCACTTATAGGCGAGACACAAGAGTCATCATAGACATGCCAATCAGTCTGGCTTCGGCACAGGGCTGTGTAGTGGCCAGAGTGGACACTGCCTGAGTGGTTGCACAGGGCATAAAGCTCATAAACAGGGCTCACAGTTCTGTCACTGGTAAAGTCCTCGAGGCTCATCTGCTGCAGTGGGAAGTCTACATCCACTGAAATCTTCGTGATGGTGCCTTGGGAGGTGGAGAATCGATTCAGATGGAGAACGAGGATTGAGGGGAATCTTTGTATTGTCAACTTTTTGGTACTCTGTGTTTTCTGGCAACATCGGTCACACACTGGGGCATTCTCCAACTCTATCTCTTCTTCCTTGGTGAAAAGGTTGAAACAATCCCACAGAGAGACCTTCTCCCCAGAAAATCCTTCCTTGGGGATGGGCAGGGACAGATCAAAAAAAACCTCAAAGGTCATGGAGTGATACCCACAGGCCTGGCACATGCGACAACTTTTCAACTGGCCGGCAAACAGGTCCACAATCTTGCTATCCTCTCGTTCCAGGTAATGCTTCCACATTAGGTTGGCTCGATCATCATCAGTTAACTCAGGTTCTTTGAGCAGAGTCTCTCCTCTGAGAGACGGACAGGGAGCTGGATCATGGGCCAAGATTGGTGGAGCCTGGCAACCTTGTCTGTTGAGTTCAAGGTGTAGTCGCTCCATGAGGAGTTTCAGGAACTCTTGGGCATCCTGCTGGTTATTTCCAGAGAAGGAGGGAATGTATTTCTGGAAGACAGCTTGGAATTCAGCAGGATCCACAGCTTCACAGGAGTTAGGGTGCCAGAGGGCACCAATCACATCTGCAAAGGCTTCAGTAAGTTCTTGGTCCTGGCCCCTTCCAGGCACCTCTCGATGGAAGTCTCTTCGTAGACAGAAGTCTCGAAGAGGCCGAGTGCTGCTCAAGCACTGTAGCACAGCATTCAAGAAGCACGTATTCCCTAGATTTTGGAGGCCAACATGACCAGAGCCCGGAAGTAGTGTATGATGAGCAGATGTGGAATGGGCTAAGTTGGTCCAGAATGGGATGGGCAGAATCACAGTTGGGGCTGGTGAGCCAGGCAGGGGAACCCCATGATCTGCCTGAAGGGGATGAGGCCCCAAGGTCTGTCCCCACCCAAGTTCCAGTTGCTTGAGCCATTCATCAGTGGGACCTGGCAGGGGAGGAAAATGTCATAACATTGAGTTTGGCCCAGGGGCTGGGTTCCAGTGCTCCTTGCTGCAGGCCCAGGGTACAATTTGTAGCTTAGACCCTACGTGGGATTGGACATTGACAGGGCATTCTCAGGTCCTGCTCGGGCAGTGCTGAGAATCCAGGGGCATTGTGCAAACCACAGGCTGGACCTGTCCCACCATGAGGTGGTGTGAAGGCCAAACAGGGCCAGGCTCTGGCTCAGGGTCACCCCCACCCCTTACTTTACACAAACCCCTGCCAGCCAGACAGCAGCTATGGCCAGAGACGTTGCCCAGATAACTCCTTCTGCAAGGAGCACTGCCATCTTTGTTGGTCCCAACCACTTCACTGTCTCTCACCAAATATGTTTTTCTTACTTTCTGTGGTACCCACATGTCCAGATCCAAAATGAGACACATGGTTTAACCACAGGTTTTCTCTTCCCAGGCTTATGATTTTATAAAAGGAATCAAGAGGCTGCACCTGAAGTGGCGCTGGTCACGGGTACCACACCCCACCCTCCCGGGCAGGCTGCTAACCAACTCTGGAGGAAGGTGGCTCCACAGGCCCTGCAGCTTGAGCACCACACACTGGGACTAAGTGGCTGCTGGCCAGACTCATGGCTCTTTCTGCTGGTTTTCTTGCTCCTGTTTCTCCCCTGGACCCATGTCAGTGGCCCTTGGCCTACAGAACCAGGAGCTGCAGACCTGGGGCGTGGAGTCCTTCCTCCTGGCTCATGCAGTGGCCATATCTGACTGCAGTGCCCCAGTTCCTGCACTGGGGTTCTCCTTCCACAAACCTAGGGGCAGGCATGTTCCCTATTTCACAGATAAGACACACGACTGAGGTTCAGTGATTTACCCAATGTCCAAACCCCAAGTCCAGGATCCATATGGTGCCTAATAAAGCAACAGAGCCTGGGTATTGTCCAGAGATGGGACAGAAAAGAGTGCACTTACCTTGCCAGCCCAGCTTGAGGCGATACTCAACATAGGGTGGTGGGATCTCACCAGGTCTTACAAGACCTTTGTGTGACGGAAGGGCTTCACGTGAGCAGCTATGAGAGCCAAACTGAGGGCTCCCTGGGTTCCTGGGATTACGGACATTATGGGAATTCCCACCTGTTCTCTGCATGGCCTGCAGTGTGAAGGGATCCGTGCTCCTGGGCAGGTAGTCATCTTCAGATGCAGCGTGATTCAGATGGCCCACGTCCACTCCTGCTGGCTGAAGAGAAGACAGTGAAGAAACAGCCTTTACTGACCAGAAGAAACAGGGAGGAGGTGAAAATCTGTGTTCAAGTCAGGATAGCCACCACTGGGCGGGCCACACTGTGTTGTGGAGCACGCGGAGACCAGGCAGGAAGACAAGTGGGAATGGGAATAGGGGAATTGTCTGAGTCTCTTCCAGCTTTCCTGGATCCAGCATCTGGGGTAAGTCTCCTGTAAAATGCTCCTAGTGGCTGGGTCCACCCAGCCCTGAGGCCCACTGGGCATGGACAGCCCTGGCTGCAGACTGCATGGGCTGTATGTGCCTCCAGCCTCACCAGGCCCTGCCAGCCTCCCAGAGCTGATCAGGGGAAGTATCCTGTGGGCAGTCCTGTCCCTGAAAGGTGGGCGTGAGGCCATGGTGCATGCCCAGAAGCTTTCAGCACAGGCCACAAGCTGCAGTGGAGGTGAACAGCTCAGCTGCCTTCTCAGCCCGGGCCATACACGCAGGCATTTCACAGTCCTCAGTGCACCAATCTTCTTGTTGTCACCTTGGTACACATCTGAGCCTTCCACCTGACCCATCCTCTGCTGCACCATTCCTATTCTGTTGAGACTCTGTGAATGAGGCTGTTGCAGGGAGTAGCACCACCCTGGCTTTCCTGCTCTGACCACCAGCTGAGTCAAGGTGCCAGTGCCTCAGTCCTTCCAGACTAGGGACTGTGCACTGACCAGGGCCCTGACCTGAGGTATGAGCCCAGACAGGATCCTTTGAGGGAGCTCTCAGCAGTGGGGATGTACTGACAGCTCTTGGGGTGTGGACTTACACCTGTCCAAACAGTCTACAGAGACATTCAAAACCCACTCACCTGGTGAATGCTGGCTCCAAGGCTCCTGGACTCAACAGAGGGTCCTGCTCTCTCCATGCCCCGTGGGGAGTGCTTGTGGGTCTCAGGGAAGGTAGCTGTGACAGAGGGAGTCAGACCAACGTGGCCCCAGCTGGTTCTGCATGGACCTTCCCCATGCTCTTCAGTCACTCTGGGTCTTACTAGACCTCCAGAGGACATAGGCCCTGATCCTCCAGCACATGGTTCACCTCTGACACATCCTGCTGCAGCACAGAGAGTTTGGAAGTCCCTCCTAAACACAGGGATTGCCCCAGTTGCAATCTACAGAGACCCCTTGATTTCTGCCTTCTCTCATTCACTTCTCCTTTTACCCTACCATCCTGCTTAACCAGCTTGACCAGCACAGTGGGCAACGTCAGGTTGAGGCCTGTGCAGCCCCCACAAGCCACACTGAAAATATGGGCACAGGTTTATATATGTGTGTTTTATCTTCCCTGCTGGAGGTGAATTCTGGGGGGCGGGCAGGAGCTTGTTTTCAAGATCCTCTGCCTCAGTTCCAGGCCAGGGGCATGAGCACAGAGCTCCAAACCAGATGCCAGGACCCTGGGGTTGAGTCATCTCTGCCTCTGAGGATGCTGAGTATGTGTCCTAACCTCAGGCCTCATATGAAGGGGAGATGAAGCTCTGTCCTGCCCAACTCCCCTAAGCAGCAGGTTGGAAGAAAGAAGGCTGTGCAGGTTCACAGGTTCTCAGGCTGAGTGCCAATGGGAGGACCCGATACTGTTCCTGCATCAAGAAGATGAGGAGTCCACAGACCTGGAATGCATACAGGGAAAACCAGTGGCAGTGGAAGGAAGAACCTCAAAGAGAAGTTCAGACTTAACCATAGAGAGGTTAAGTGTCTCAGAAATTACCCTTAATTTCTCGTGTTGTTGTATGAGTACTTCTAGGTTTGGCTGCAATCTGGACTGAGGTAGATTTCCTTTTAAGTCTTTGGTTTGGTTTGTAAGTGAATGAAAAGCTATGATTTAAGCCACAAAGAAGCCTGTGACACACTGCACCGTGGTTAACCAGGAGGGCCAGTCTCCTTCAGTGAGCAGGAACTTCTCCCAGAAACAGCTGGGGTGGCATGGAAGGCCTGCATCCCAAATGTCAGTAACCCAAATGTCTTCCTAGGGCCTGGGTGCTGAGGGCCAGCAAACAGTGAGTACCCTGTCCTTCCTCCCACTCCCCTGGCCTAGCTGGGGTTGACACTGACCTTGTGGAAGGAGGTTGCTGTCCACTGCAGGGAAGTCTCTGTGTCTGGGTATGGTGGCAGCAAAAGACAATGATCTATCCTTCTTCCTGACCACAGGGTCCTGCGAAGGACAGCTCTGCTGAGGTCTTCCTACCTGGCTTGGGGTAGCCATGACATTATTGCCTGGAGCAGTTGCTGCCATGGTGCTGTGGCGTCTATCCATCATGGATTTCTTGAGGATCTGGAAGGCTGAGAGTGGTGTGATTCTGAGTGCTGTGCAGCAGGATGAATCCTCCCTGCGTCTCTCAGGACCTGTGGGAATGCCTGTGGTGTGGCTGCTGGAGGTCAGGTGCTGGGAGAAACTGCCACTGAGACATCTGAAGTCCAGGCTATGCCTCTGAGGCTTGAACTGGATACAGAGGTCTTGGACATGACCAAAGAGCCTGCTAACACAGTGCCCACTGCCCTGGGCAAGCTTCTGGCTGGCCATGTCACTCCTCATTTGGAATGAAGTCCTTGAGTTTTGAGAGAAGCTGTCACTCCTGAAAGAGGAAGAAGGGAAGGGCAGAACTGACTCCAGAAAGGAATCAGGGGTTGTCAAAGCCCCATGCACCCCGTTGGACTGGAGGAAGCTGGCTGAGGCCCGGCAGCTCTGAAGTCTGCCTGGGACATGTATTGCTCATCTGTGACTCTTTCAACCTAGGATACAGCAGCAAACCCATGATTCAAAACATGGGATGTTTCTCCTGAACTGCACTCCAGTGCATCCTCTATGTGGACACTCAGCCAGTGTTTGCCTCACCACCCCATGAACCTTTGCTAAGCTGGGTCAGCCTACTCTGCATCCCAGCAGGTGTTCCCATGCCCCTCACACTGCCTGTTTGCTGATGGAGGGTCACTCTTCACTGAACCCCAAAAGGATGTCCACATTCATCTCACACTGCCTACTTGCTCACTGTGCTCTCTTCCCTGCACCCCAGCAGGTCTAGACACCCCCCCCCACACTGCTGGATTGCTCACTGTGGCTGTCTTCCCTGAATCCCAGCAGGTGTAGACACCCCCCCCCCACACTGCTGGATTGCTCACTGTGGCTGTCTTCCCTGAATCCCAGCAGGTGTAGACACCCCCCTCACCCTGCTTGCTTGGTAACTGTGGCTCAGTGTTCCCTGCACCCCAACAGGTCTAGACATAAACCTCACAATGACTGCTTGGTCACTGTGTTTGTCTTCCCTGCACCCCATGAGTTCTAGACCCACCCCTCACACTGCCTGCTTGCTCACTAACAGTCAGTCTTCTCTGCACCCCAGCAGGTCTATAAAGACCCCTCACACTGCCTGCTTCATCACTGTGGCTGTCTTCCCTGCACCGCAGCAAGTTTAGACATGACCCTCACACTGCCTGCTTGGTCACTGAGGGTCAGTCTTCCCTGCACCTCAGCAGCTTTAGACACACCCCACACACTGCCTGCTTGGTCACTGAGGGTCAGTCTTCCCTGCACCTCAGCAGCTTTAGACACACCCCACACACTGCCTGCTTGTTCAACATGGCTGCCTTCCATGCACTACAACAGGTCTCGACACCCCAATCACACTGCCTGCTTGCTCACTGTGGCTGCTTTCTCTGCACCCCAGTAGGTCTACACACATCCCTCACACTGCCTGCTTACTCAATATGGCTTAGTGTTTCCTGCACCCCAGCAGGTCTAGACACCCCCCTCACACTGCCTGCTTGCTCACTGTGGCTCAGTATTCCCTGCACCCCAGCAGGTCTAGACACACCCTTCATACTGCCTACTTGCTCACTGTCACTGTCTTTCCTGCACCCCAGCAGGTCTAGACACACCCCTCATACTGCCTGCTTGGTCACTGAGGGTCAGTGTTTCCTGCACCCCAGCAGGTCTAGACACATCCCTCACACTGCCTGCTTACTCAATATGGCTTAGTGTTCCCTGCACCCCAGCAGGTCTAGACACCCCCCCAAACTGCCTGCTTGCTCACTGTGGCTCAGTGTTCCATGCACCCCAGCAGGTCTAGACACACCCCTCACACTTCCTGTTGTCCTTGCACCCCAGAAGGGTGTCCACACAACCTTCAAATTGCCTTCTTGCTACTGAGTGTCAGTCTTCCCTGCACCTCAGCAGGTTTAGACACAACTCTCACACTACCTGATTGCTCACTGTGGCTGTCTTCCCTGCACCCCAACAGGTCTAGAGACATCCCTCACACAGACTTCTTTCTCACTGAGGGTCAGTCTTCCCTAAACCCCAGTAGGTCTAGACACCCCCTCACACTGCCTGCTTGCTCACTGTGCATCAGCCTTCTCCGTACCCCAGCAGGTTTAGACACACCCCTCACACTGTCATCTTTGCACTCCAGAAGGGTGTCCACACAACCCTCACACTGCCAGATTGCTCACTGACGATCAGTCTTTCCGGCACCATAGCAGGTTTCCCCTAGCCACTCACACTACCTGGATGCTCTGTTAGACAACATGGAGGAGACACATTGGAAGGCAAATATTGAGAGGCTGAAAGCAACCTGATACGGTGTCAGAGAGCATCCAGCAAGCACTTCCACCTCTAAGTGTTCACAGGATCCAGCTCATAGGCTAGAATTCAGTACACTAGGAGATGTCTGAACCAAGCCACAGATCTGTTTTCTATCATGAGTTACAGTCTCTGAAGAGGCATTCAGAGGGGTAAATACCTCTCCATAAAATGTAAAAATCTATAGCAAAGTTTCCCATTTGGGAACTGTATTCAGGTTAGAAAAGGTGTTGATCACTATTTTTTAAACTCAATTGGTAAAGAAGAACAAAGACACAAGACTGTCAGGCTCCACATTCTCCAGTCCTTCTCCTGGGCAGCACCCTCTGGTAACCTCCTGGTTCCCCTACATAACATCTTCTGCTTCACAAGAGTTTCGTTTCAATATTGGTTTGGGGAACTGGACCATAAGTTTCTGAGTTTCAGGTCTCTTTTTCATCCTTTATGTTAGGATTCTTAATAGGATTTTGTTTGTGTGAAAGAAAGTCAATATTCACAATAGCATCTCTCAGCTACTGGAGGCCTCAAGGGTCTTGATGCACCTGAGATCTCAGAAACATACCAAGGTGCAGCTGTTTCTAGAGGGCCAGGGCCTCTCAGGCCTACCCACAGAATATCTGCCTAGTGGAAACTCCTCAGCTCTCAGGTCACATAGAGAAGTAGCCACCAGCGTGTAAGCAGACAGGCAGGCGTGCAGGCCAGCGCTGTCTTCTGTCAACATGAGCCCTGATGGTTGGAAGCTCCACTTCTGTTCCCAGGCTTCACTGGCCTCCCTAGGCCTCTGCATTCCTTATGTCCCAGGCACAGATCAACATCTGTGGGTGATTATGATGGTCAACCTTATGTTGTGTTTTTCACAGTTTATTTTTTAATATTGTTTTTAGTTGTAGGTGCACACATTACCATTATTTTTATTTACTTATTTTTGTGTGGTGCTGGGGATCAAATCCAGTCCCTCACCCATGCTAGGTGAGCATTCAACCACTTAGCCACAACTGCAGCCCTTCAAAGGTTAGTTTTATAAAGAAGTTAAAGTCATTCATAAGGAGAAAGAATTAAGAACAAAATAATGTTGATTGTCCATCAGAATCAACTGGGGCCAGGAGGCTGTACAATGGAACTCTTTTCATGCCAAAAGAAAATTAGTTTTGAAATTTGGAGCCAACAGAGGTCTCTCATAAAATGAAGATCCCAAAGCTGAAGCATGGTGGTCTTACTTGTAAACCCAGAGATTCAGGTGGCTTAGGCATGAGGATTGCAACCTCAATGCAGCCTCAGAAATATAGTGAGACTGTCTCAAAATTTATACAGAAGGGGTGTCCTATATGCATACATGATTATATGACCAATGTAATTATACATCATATACAACCAGAAGAACGAGAAGTTCTTCTCCATATATATTTCAAAATACATTCTACTATAATGTATAACTAAGAAGAACAAATCAAAAATGATAAAAGAGGGGCTGGGTGTAACTCACTGGTAAGCACCTTTAGGTTCAATCGCCAGAACTGAAAAAAATGAACATGACATGAAGTTACATGAGATAAAAGGGCAATGTATCACAGGGGCCTCATGTGGCTGCAGAAGGTGAGGGAGCCAAGAAAGGAAACCAGAGGAAGCCTCACTCAATAATTTATAAATCTTGCTTTTCATACATGTTTTAATCCATTAAGTCCCCTGGATTTTCAGTCTTGTGAATATTTCAATGAAATGAACACAGGTGCATTACCATCAGACTCTAGCGGTATATACCTTTTATATGTATTTTCCAAATACATGGAGTATATAAACGCTGCCACCATTCTCCTACTACTTTTATCAATAGAAGAGAACTCTAAGGATACAGCGTTTATTTCAAAGTAACCATCAATGATGCATCTGTTGCTCACTTTTCATAGGTGTCCTGTGTGCAAACAATGGGTTAAATGAATTGCAGGACCTAGAGGAGGTGGGCTGTCTCTGTCTTGTGACATGAACACTCCTGGGGCCACCTTTCCTTCTGGTCCCCTGCTTCTGCCTGAAGAGTACCCTGGTCACACCCTCAAGACAGATCTCCTGGAATCTCTCTCACCTCTCTTTCTCCTGAGAATGTCTTTGTTTTTATATACCTGAAGGGTCCTCTCACAGGACAGACTTTGGAGGGTTTCTCCATCTTTCCATTAATCTCAGGAGTGTTTTCCTTTCTCATGTGGAGTGCTGTTAAACAGGGCTTTAGGGTCAGCATCTGGAGTCTGGTTGGCCTCTGCCCCTTCCTTTAAGAACTGTTTTCATATCACTGCATCTCTGTATGTTGAGAGAGTCTGGATTCTGTCCTGAATGCTGTGTCTGGCATGCTGTGTGGACTCTGGGTTGTCATAATCCTTTGGAGAATGGACATTTTTCTTTCTGCAGGAGAGTGTCTGGTATCTGTCTCTCCTGGGTGTGTCAGTTAATCTTTGTCCCAGACTTTGCTGTATGGCTTGATAATGGACCCTGGGGGCTATTTTGCTCTTGAAGAGCAGAATCAGAGCAAAATCACAATCACGTCAAGAACAAGACTCTGCGGCAGCAGCAGGAGACAGAGCCCAGGTTAGCACAGACAGGAACATCCATATGGCAGGCAGGGGCCAGCCTCCTGCTGCTCCTACACATGTAGCTTGCTTGAGGTCACACTGCACTCTTCATGGGCCTCCCCTTTTGACACATGGTTCACCACAGGTTGTGACATTTCACTCAGAGAGGAGGTGACTGTATTTAGTGACTATCATGCATGTAGGTGTGTCCCTTGACACCTGCAATCTGCCCCCTGCCATCAGGGAAGATTCCTCACTAGGTTCTGGAGAAGGATGAATCACAGCCCCGCCTTACAGATTGGGCTTCCTGGTGTCTCTACTGAACACACAGTTTTGAAAACTGAGATGATTTCCCAACCAACCATCTACTGGTGTGTTATCTTAACT